TGAGTTACTCAATCTTCTACCATCGGGAAGTAGCATCTATGGATATTACATACATACAGAAACGCTCCAAAGACAACATTCTGGAGAGCAACACTCAGCAGTAAAGCCTCAACTGCTCTCGCAGTCCAACTATCACAATGGGTATCTACCCTGGCGGCAAAAGCGTTCGCATCGACTCTCCCCGCCACCTCACTCTTCGGCATGCTCGTAATCTTGTGGCTGTACATCAACGCAATGTCCGACTTGCTCTTCGCAGCTCTGGAGAGCTTCAAGATGAGGGAGAGAGCAGCGAGGAAGAAATTGACCCTTTACCAGCTGGTCAGCAGAAGCTCAACTCATACTGGGCGCCTGGCCTGGAGGCAGGCAAAGAACATATTGTCTCTGTAGAGCAGGACATTAACCCAAACACTACAAAAAAGGGCAGCAAGAAGCTGCACTTGACAGCTGAGCAAGGCTTCTTTGTTGATGCTCCTCAGTTCTCGCTGCCTGACGGGAGTGTTCACTCGACATATCCTCCTGCGGGCTACAGCGATGATCACAGAATCTTGCCGCATATTGTCCTCACAGACCCTCATCTCCCTTGGGAGCGCCTGGGCAGCCCAAAGCAAGGAACCAACGCCGAGCTGAGGGAGAAGGTGAGGTTGATGGCTCTGGGATCTGAAGAGGAACCGGTGCGCAATCGTGTTCCTTGGCTGGTGGTGCTTTCTTTTGACCAGAGCGAACTGCGTCTGCCTCCTGAGGATCTAGACAAAATCTTCAGTGCCACGAGTGATGGTGTCATCAAGCCCGTCAAGCAGTCCTCCACTATGACTGTCAACATGAGCATCGCAGATCTGTGGAAACTGCCGACCAGCGATGTCATCACACCCGTAACACCGGACCTGGGCCCTGAGTCTATGAAGGATAGCCGTGGAGATTTTATCTTCGTCCAGCCTGAAATCTTCAAGAGCTTCTTTTCCACGTGGGATGAAGACAACAACAGGGTGATTCCGGAGAACAACAAGGCAGATACTTTACAGTATCAGTATCTAGCACATGTACGCAAGATTAACGGCTCAGGCATGGCCCTCGCGGGGGTAGAAAACACCGCCGTCTTTAGCATTGTCATCGGCAACAGATCTGGCCCTCTGGACAATCAGACGCCAACAACCATGTGCGCGCACCTCGTGTCGATTGAGGGCGTGGAAGACATGGCGTTCCCTAGCGATAGCCAGCGCTATGTGGCTCTCTGCTCGCTCTATAGCTGGAACTATACGGTACTGCCGCCCGATACCCTCAACGTGCCCGATGCCTTTGAGCATCTTGGCAGAACTTTGGATGTTTTGCGCGCTCCGGAGAGTATTATCAAGCCGCTGCGAGATGCTCCTGACAAGATCCGGCAACGCATTGCCAGTCGCCTTGACGACGGTTACACGCTGGTCAAGTATCGCACGCAGACGGGTGAACCAACGGTTGCGCTTTACAGAGGGCCGTTCACACCCACGTATGTGCCAGATCTAGCCCATTTAACCAAGTCCTCAAACTCCAGTGTTGATCTCCAGATTCTGGACAAAGAGCTTGGCATTATGGACATTACCTATTCGATAGCATGGCAGACTGGTCGCACCATGGCTCTGGGCGACGAGGTCTTTACTGCTGCCCTTAATAGGCTGAGAACGGCTATTCATGGACCAGCCATGAAAACAGTCAAGCTGCAGACGATCAAGGATATCAACGACATCTCGTTTCGCACGAAAGATGAAGTTCTTGAAGACCTCCCTGAAGTGATCCAGAGCCTTGCAAATATTCACATCAGGCGCGACGATGGCAATAACTTTGCGCCTCCAGTGCCTGGACAGCCATTCTTCTCCCCGGGAGGAGCCAAGAAACGCTGGTTCCGCCCGAAAATGGGTCGCTCTGACCTTCCCAATATGTCCTTTACCGATCTGGACTTTGAACAGAGGTATAAAGCCGCTGCGGTAGATGTTGCCCGTAGGCTTGCAGGGAGCAAGTCGGAGGGTTTGTTGTATGACGAGACCAATGACCCAGTGTCGACGGACTGGATGATTGTGCTCTCGTGGCTCGTTGACAAAATGTTCCTGTCGGGAGTCCCTGCGCACAGTCTGATACCGGACCCAACATATCTGGGTCCAGAAAGCCTGAGGTTCTTCCGCATTGATAAAAACTGGGTCGATTCCATGATTGATGGTGCTTTGTCGTTAGGCAACCATTCGCTCGTCGACGACGATCGGGTTGCTATCAAGACGGCGCTCAATCTCTACATTAATAGCGTACCTCAAGGAGCTAAACATAGGATTCAGATTCCTGCCTACGGCTTCTACCTGCGATCCGACTTGGTCACCATGTTTCCGGATCTTCGCGTAGAGGTACTCCCTGATGAAGAGGCTCTTTTCGCTGCTGGCGAGGAGCCTCCAGCTGGCGCTCCACTCCTCCGCCACAACATTGTCACAGACGGCATCATGATGGGCTTCATGGATCGCCTACCAGGATCAAACCAGTTTGGTCAACTAGTCTTCACGCAGCCAGCCCACCAGCAGCGGTTTGCCGTAGCTCGCGGACTCGATGTCAATGAGATTAAGGTCAATATCCGCAAACAGTATACGGTGGACCAAAAGACTCGCGAGACAGACACTGGCAGACATGACAAGCTTACGCAGATCATAACCAACCCCAAGGGTGACAAGTCTAAAGACAACATCTTTATCTGGGGTTCAAAGCCGGGGCAAGGCCTTAACGACCTCCGCATCTTGCGTCTCCCAAAGTATGCAGACGTGCAGCTAGAGGAGCTCGAGAAGTGGAAACAGACTGCTCCTGATGGGACGCCTTACTTCAAGGATGATACGGCAACCTCGGCACTGTTTTCTATGCAGTTGAACGATCCCGTCTACAAGCTCACCGTTGATCTTAAGGCCCATCCAGAAAATGAGAGCCTGGCCGCCCTTGGCCCGTCGAGTGGCCCCAGCGCTACTGAAGTCAGAATGCTGAGACAGCTGGAACCAGCTCGAATGGCGATGCATCCTGGTTATAGACAAGGGGGCAGTGGCGTATCCTCTCAATTTACACGCTATAATGATGACGACGATGATGAAGGTACAACGGGTGTAACCTTTCAGCGTCATGGGGAATATGTGCCAACGGTAAAGGCCCTTGCAAAGAACTTGGCACCCCATGTCCGCCACATCCCAACCATTTCAGCTCACAAACTGCCGAGGCCAAGCGAAGCCATCTCATCATTTGCTGAGCACAAGCCACGCGATAGGTTTAGCGACCCAGCGAGTGCACCAAGGTACAGAATCACCGTCAGCAGCAACATTGGCAGCCACTGGGACGTCATCACTCTCCGCAAGCCAAACTTGCAGCAAGACATCATCTTTGCCGTCTCTGTGGAGCAGAACCAGAGCAACCAGTACATGCTCGCGGAACTCGACATTCAGATCAAGCTTGGTCCAGCCAAGCAAGACGAAAATTACTTGATGCCGACTTACGCAGGCACTGGCGCCATCATGTTAACTAACCTGCGCTTCAACGTGCTGCCCCAGATTCTAGATGATGGCGGCCAGCGAGTCTTGCGCCTGCGAGTCTTGCCACGCGCTGCCAAAGGCTGGATTGACATTGGTACGGTCAAGGAGCTCGGCTTTATGCTGGGGCTCGCCCAGGTTAATGAATCGCTGGGTGATCCAACCCAAGTAGAACTGGATGTATGGGCAATCTACTGTAAAGATGCGCAGAATCCCAAGTTGGGAGACGACAATACCGTCAAGATACCTAATTCAATTACGACAAGGGTCACGGTGTTTGACAATCCACAATGGGCACAGTAGTAAGATGAGAATATTTGGATCATTTAACTTGTAGTGGCGGTTAGCGAGGGAACAGAGGCACTGCGAGTGAAAATGGACTGAAATTCAAGATGGAGACAGCTTAAAGTATAACCCCGTAGCTCCTTGCGCAATGTTAGCTCAGATTTTCTGTTTCGCCTAGCCAGCTCATATCGGAGTAAAGCTGGGATATTGAAATCGACTGCCCAGAGACTTAAAGATTGCGGAATTTGGAGTGTCTTGTCCTTGGAGAACATCCAAGCCACATGTTGGTGGATGTACGTGTAATCAAGAGTGATTACTGACTCTTGCATGCGGCATAGTAGTCCCATGTTGATTTAAAAGGTAGAACTGTGTGTGAAGTATGCAGCGTAATATAATGCGTATTTTATAGAAGGCATAAGTTGTTACAATCTTTAACCATTCTCGCTTCCAAACTACTTATTCAATAGGCTCGCCAGCTCCACGCTTCTTTTAAGTCATGGTGATTTTCGGGCATGCTAAGACTAAGGTATCCGAGGTTCGTAACAGCTGTCTGTCACAAAGAGTTGCTACAACCGTTTTGCATCAGGGTGACGATCTATGCAAGATAATGTTGTTCAGCCCGAAAAGTCACCCAATGAGCATTGTGTCACGACCTGGCTCTTATGGTCGCGACAATGGGCCTACAGGGTAGTCGGTTCCGGATAAACGACGGACCGACCAACCAATCAGGAGCGGATCATTGGATCATCGCAATGATCCAACGATCCATGAACGGATCATCAGAACTATGAGATGATCCACGACGGGATCATCAACCTTTGCAAATGATCCAGCCCAGCCAACTGGGTATATAAGTTCACTTCATGCCACTCATTAGAATACTTAGATAGCCAGTTGTTATCAACACAATAGCACTTAAGATTGAACACTCAGACACTTCTCTCTACAGCTAGTGACAAGATTGCCCGTTTACCGACCTGATCGCTCCGCCAACATAAACCATAGAACCACTCTAAGGTTTGTCCCTTGGGAACAGCTAACCTATACTAACATATAGGCACCGGTTCGTCACACATTGCAGTTAAAGTCTCCATAATTCTGTCGCTGTGCCTGAGGGGGCGCCCAAATTTAAATATCATCAGGCTGCAAAAACCTCAACCTTCCTCCTCCCTTCTTTATTTGCGACCGCAGACATTCCAAGCGCTTTAAGAAGCAATCATGACGACAATATGGGCGCCAAAACTTGGCTTAAACCCCGATCTCTTTGGCCTTCACGTTCATCCTCCTCTCTATCCACGAGGCAGCCTGATGCAGTTGGTTCCGCTGATGCCCAAAATGATCAAAGGCACCTAAAGGAACCAGTTGCTAACGTGGCGTCCGATGCCAACGCGACGACTATCCCTCAAGTAAAGGCAATCGAAACCATCGAACGATCCGAGGCTATTCAATCCTCAGCGACATCATCAACATTTGATAATACCCCGATTCGAGAACTTTGGAATATTGCGTACGAGAAACTGCGAGAAGAAGAAAGCGCCCTTGTTGTAGAGTATGAGGCTAGACTGCAAGGGAGCGTTGTCGCCGGTCTGGGTGAGGCTCTTAAGCTGAAATCGAACACCAGAGAGCGGATGTGGGCGATCCTTCAAAGCAAGATGAACGAAGTGAATAAAAATACGACCAAGTTCAATATAGGCAGCACCGAGATCAAGATGAGAGACGTTGCCCAACTCGTCTTAAATGTTGTGGGCGCTGCCAACAGTTACATCAGTCAGGCTGTAAGCGCCAACCCGTCAGCCTCGATAGCTTGGGCTGGCGTCAGCTTTTTGCTACCGGTAAGTCACGATGCATCATTGATCCTCTACGCAATGACGTATACTAATATTGAATGATTAATATGAATGAGCAGCTATTCATGAATATATCAACTAAAAGTGCCGCCCAGGCAAAAGGACTTGAGTACATTTCATCTCTTATATCCCAAAGCCAAATAAGAGAAGAACTACATTAAGTGTTACGAGTCACGCAAAGATGCTCAGCACGAGTTTCAGCAATCACACCGCCAATATAAAGCCGCTTTAGAGCGACTCTACAGACAGATATTGAAATTTCAGACTAAAAGCTGCTGCTATTACTCGAATAGCTCAGCTTTTCGCTATGGTCTTGATGCCGTTAAGTGGAACGACTGGGATCAGCTAGTGAACGACGTGCGCCAGCGAGATGCAGAGTTTGCTGCTTTCGAACAGATTTGGCGAGATTTACAGCATCTTGAGGAGCGCCTAGCAGCTGAAAGCCTGCATCGGGAAACTATGAACTCTATAGCCGCAATAAAAACAGAGTTGTGTATATCGCGCGAGGCCACCGAAAGTGCAATGACCAGACAAGAAGGCCATGAACTACTTAGCTGGCTTTGCGATATTGATCCCTCATTAATATACAATACTGCTCGAGAAAGTCACGAGGCTGGCACTAATGAATGGCTAATAACAAGTGAGGAGTTTCAGAGTTGGGAGAGGAGTGATGGGTCGCTGCTGTGGCTCCATGGCAAAGGTAAGCCTAACGCCGTTGTTTCCCATGAAATGAGGCATAAGTGCTTGCCTAGTCATTGTCTCTCTTCTCAAAATTCAAGCTAATTGTGTCTCTTTAGCCGGCTCGGGAAAATCAGTCATAACTTCCTCGGTCATTAGCTATTTGAAAGACAAATACTCATCGCGGCCTTCAACAGCTCTCGCTTACTTCTATTTTACTTTCAGTGACCTAAAGAAACAAGAAGTGGACGGAATGCTTGCATCCCTTATTAAACATATCTGTTCTTGTCTGCCTGCCATACCACAATCGGTCAAACAACTTGGAGATTATAAAACTAAAGGCGAACGTCCGGATACTAAAACACTCGAAGCAGCACTTATAGCCTCAACATTGAAGCTCTCGGCCGTGTTTTTTGTCATCGACGGCTTAGATGAGTGTCCGCTTTTTGGCAGGCAAAGGGAGAGGCTTTTAAAAAGTTTACAAAACATCCTTTTAAATACACCGAAGAATTTTCATGTTTTTTTAGCAAGCCGCAAAGAATATGATATTAATCTCAAAATACGTCCTCTTTTATCTCTACCGGATAGATTCGAGATCGACCTATTGGTCCAACGGAACACTCTGAATAATGATATCTATCAATACATTATCTCAACATTAGCAGCAGAGGAGTTTCAATTTTGGCCAGTTGACGTTAAGGAAGAGGTAACAAAGTCTCTTATTGAAAAGGCGGATAGTATGTGAGTCGTTATAGCTGCGCACATAACCAGTGGAGTGCTAATAACAACTGTATGTCAAGGTTTCAATATGTCCGCTTTCAGCTTGAAACACTTCAAGAGCTTTCATCTGTACCCGAGATCCGCAAGGCCCTTCTAGACCTTCCTATCGGACTTGATGCAACTTACAACCGAATTCTCGAAAATATTGACACCAAGTTCCAAAGCCAGGTTATAAATTCACTAAAGTGGTTGGCATTCTCAAAAAGAGTCTTAACAGTTGAAGAATTGACTGAAATATTTATTATTGACCCGGATAAAGATACTGCATTTGACGAAAACGCGCGCCTCTTTTCTTCTTCGGCTATAACTAGGTACCTTTCTGGCTTAATTGTCATTGAAAAAGGTCGGAGCTTAAGCGAAAGTCCCGTCCGCCTAGTCCACTTTTCCGTCAAAGAATATTTAACTTCTGACAGGATAGACTCGGCTTTCTCATTTACAGAAGCGGACGCTCATATAGATATCACGCATTCATGTCTAGCGTATCTTACGCATTTGAACACCACATATGAGAGAAACGTTGAAACCCCTTATGGTTTGGAAGTGCTCTATCCTTTAACAAATTACGCGGCTAAATACTGGGCGATGCATCTCGAGAAAGTACCGCGTGCGCAGTGGCCAGCCAAAGTCACACTCAGCGCTGTACTTGTGCTTGCCGGTCACAGCCTAAGCCTATTGCTCACTTTACTCGACCAAGGGAAAAGTGCAGGAGCATACGAACCTGAAGTTTCCAAATATTTGTGGAAAAAGCCACACTGTTACACTGCTTACAGTGGCCTTCAACAGATAACCGAGGTGATAATCGCTCAGAAGCATGGTGCGAATGAGTATATTACGCAAGAAGATTTGGATTTTGGACTATGTTATGCAGCCCGTGGAGGCCAAGCTTCCCTCCTACATCTACAGGTACCCCACCTTTTGGGTGCCTAACCACCAAAAACTCCTACCTGTTTAACTAGCTATTAGATAAAACAACTACGATTTTTTTATTTACGGTCCTATTTAGGGACCCTAGAGAGATAAAAATATCTGTAAACCCTTTAGATAACTAAAATAGAATAAAACCTATTACCTTTAGATTAGCAACAGCCTTTTAACTACTAAAGGAGGTAACTCCCTTAGGCTTAAGAACGGGAGAGGTTATAGTCCTCTCTTTTACCCTTAAGAAAAAAAGACGCTTTAAAGAAGCCTTTAGCATAGATAAAATACCCTTACTTAGTTTTAATAAAGTAAAATTAAGTATAGTAGTAATAGTAACTATAGCGTAAACAGCTTTAAAAGGCCTTATTACCTTTATCTTTAATAATATAAAAGAAGTTATTAACTTAAATAAAAAAAGGAAATCCCTTATTAAAAATAAAATTATAAACTAAATTAATAAAATTAATATATAATAATAGGCTAAATAAAATATAGTATTAAATATAACTATAGTTATTAACTTTTACTTAATATAATATACCTTTTAGTTTTCCTTAATAGTAGTAAAATAAGTTTATTTATACTTAAATACTACTTATAAAAACTTTATTACCTTCTATATTAACCTTAAGGGGAGGCTTAAAGACCTTAAGAAATTAAGTAGTAAAAAAAAAGCTACTTAATTAACTAAAATAATATTAGTTAATATATTTTATAATAAAAAAGATAAATTAAATACTACTAGGACCTTTATTATAGTAGAAGCTTTTATATTTATTAAAAAAATAGGCTAAAAAGACCCTAGGGTTATATAAGTATAGATTATATTATAAGAAAATACTTATAATAAAAACCCTTAGAAGGGAATTAATAACCTAAAGCTTTCCCCTATAGGTAGTATTAGTCTATAGCTATAAGCTATAGCTATAGCTATAAGAAAATAGAGCTTATAGCGGTTATTACAGTGGTCTTTACATCCCTATAGCTAGTCTATAGCACTAGCTATCACTAATATCCCCTATAACCCCCTATAACCTTTACAATCAGCTATACTTAATACTTGATCCTTCAACCTACCCTATAGCTTATAAGCTATTGCCTAATTAGGACTAGCTTATAGACCTTCTAAATAGCTATTGCTTAATTAGGCATAGTGTTATTAGGACCTATAAGCTTATNAATCGCATTCGGGCACCGTTTGCAACCGAGGCCGGAAATGAATTTCGAAAACAGCTATTAAACACTCAACGATTCTGCAACCATCAAAAGGAATCAAAATACATAAGTTATACCGTTAGATAGCCCTGTTTCCTAGCTATCTAATGGTAGTCTCTATGTATCTCAATTCTAACTGTTAGTACTGGTTTTTGGAATATAAATAAGAGAGGTTTTTCCTGAGTTTTCCTGTACTAGTAATTCAATTCAATGAATATATTCAACAAGCAAATTTGATTAATTTGATCCTTGTTACCCTTTGTTACTAGACCAGTGATAAGACTAGCTACCCTATAGCTTCAAAGTCTTATATATAAAAAATAACTAACCTCTCCGTTATATATAGAGAATTAGGAGTCCCCCTAGCGTTTATATAAGTAGTATAAACTAGGCTTTATATAGTAGTTTACTTTATAAGTCTTAATAAAAACTGCTTAATTAATAAATATATTAATAAAAAACTCCCTCCTAAGGTTGTTTTTACCTAATTATAATATACTATAGCTTTAGTAAGGAAAATAGTTTAACCTTTTTTTTTTACTAAAAATAATAAAGCTATTTAAGTAAGCCTAGACTTTAAAGACCTACTAAAGTTAAAAGCAGTAGAAAAATACCTAGAACTACTTAACGGCCTCCTTAGGTCTACCTTCCTTACTTACTTAAATAGGTTATAAAATAAATAAGGTAATACTAGCTAAGGAGCTATTATATACTATAACTTTAAAAAAACTATAGTATATAACCCCCTTGCTAACGTAAAGGTTTATAATACTAAGGCAGTAGGTACTTTTAAAACTATAAAGCTAGCTAAAATATATACCTTTATAAACCTAAATATTTAAAAGATTTTACTTTTTTTAAATAACTTAGTAGTAGTAAATAAAATACTAAAGCTAACTTTTACCTTATCTTAAAAAGCTTATATAAGGCTATACTAAATTACCTAAAGACTACTTTTATAAATAATTATAAAAGTAGCCTAAGTCTTAGGTTATAAAGATATACTAGGAAATAAAAAAGCTAACTAATTAGTAAAAAAAGGTTTAAAACTCCTTTACTACTTAAAAAACTACTTTACTATTACTTTTATTAAAAAGTAAATAAAAAAAAAATATAAGGAAATATAAAATAATAATTAAAATAATAACTACCTAGAGTTATATAAAACTAGTAGATAAAGCCTTTATAAAGCCCCCTTTATATCCCTAAAGTTATATTTCCTATACTTAATCTTATATAGGCTATTAGTTAAAAGGTTTAAATATAAAAACTTTATAAAATATTATAAAAAATTTAAATATAATATTAGGCTTATTTATAAATATAAGAAGCTAAGGATATAAAAGTACTTTATAAAATACTATATAATAGCCTTTTTCCTCTTTAATATATTAAAAAGGAAAGTATACTTTAAAACTACTTATATTTAATACCTCTTTAGTAATAAAGGGCATAAGGATTTCCAGAAACTAATAAAAGAGATAAGCTTATACAGCCCCCCCCCTATAAAAATAAATACGTAAAACAGATTAATACTTCCCCATTTCCTTTATTACATTAAAACGTAGCAAACGCCTAATCTAAACTCAGCGGCTCCTACCATCCTAGTGCCTAGATAAGGACTTATGTAACTAGCTTACTTAGTAGACGTTAATAATAAAACAAATAAACAAACAAACAGCCCGTGGAGGCCACCTGGATATTATGCAATTATTTCTCGAAAAGGGTGCCAACATGAATGCGCATTGCGGCAGATGGCATTCAGCAGTACATGCGGCCGTGAGCGGTGAACACATGAATATTCTAGAGCTGTTTGTCAGCAAAGGGGCCGATGTCAACTCTCAACCGCCATTATTTGTGTGTATTTCTATATGGAACACACAATGTTTGAAGTATCTTCTCGACCATGGCATGAATATTGATACACAGGATATACAGCATGGGACCGCACTACACAAGGCAATAGCCGATGGTCATTCTGCGCATTTCGATCTATTGTTGGAAAGAGGCGCTGACATAAATGCTCTGAGTGAGAAACTTGGCTCACCGCTCCAGGCAGCATGCGTGGGACCGGACGAATTTAGCGGAACGAGAGAGCAAATGTTTCCAAAAATTCAATACATTGAGAAGCTTTTAGAACTCGGCGCAGATCCCAACATCTGTGGTGGAAAGTACGCCACAGCGCTACAAGCTGCGTGCAGTATTTGGGAAAAAGACAGAGTTGACTTATCAACAGAAGTTGTGCGGCTTCTCCTTGAACACGGCGCTGATGTGAATGTTCAAGGAGGGCACTGGGGCTCAGCTCTCCACGCGGCAGCGGCGTCATATTTAAAGGAAAAGGTCGAAATTATGAAGCTGCTCCTTGATCACGGTGCCGGGGTCGATCAAAGGGGTAATGACGGAGAAACTCCGCTGCATGTCGCCTGCCACGAGGGGACCTTTGAGGCGGTGCGCTTTCTGGTCGACCGAGGCGCCGATGTCAACGCTGAAAGTGGTCGATTCGGCACGCCAATACTAGCTGCTGCAGCCCAAGGAGATGACTGTATGCCAATATTCACTCTCCTCATGGATAAAGGTGCCAATATCAACCATCAAGGGGGAGAATGTAGATCTGCGCTACAGGCCTATTTTCACAGCTATCAAGGGAATGTTGAATCGTTTCGCTTTCTCCTTGAGCACTGCGCAGATGTCAATGCGAAAGGTGGCAAGTATGGGACGGCACTCATAGCTGCCTGTGCATCTGGTATACAACAGAGAGAAAAGTATGTGCGGTTGCTGCTGGATCATGGCGCCGACGTAAATGCACAGAGTGAGGAGTATGGAACGGCACTCATCGCTGCTTGCCAGTCATGTTTTGATGAGGGAAACACACAAATAGTACGATGGCTGTTGGATTGCGGCGCCGATGTAAATGCACAAGGCGGCAAACATGGAACGGCGCTTTCAGCTGCCTGCAGCTGGAACGACGTCCAGGCAGAGGAGGCAGCGGCGTTGCTGCTCGATCACGGCGCAAATCTTCACCTGCAGGACTGCGCCGCTTGGTATTCGGCAATTCGTTTCATTATCACTCACGATACTTTCTTTGGGTTTACTTACAGAAGCATCGGTCCCGTGCTTGAACTCCTCCTTAATCGCGGCATGGACATTAATCATGAGCATGCAGAGTATGGCACTGCCCTGCACGCTATGGTGAATGGGGGAAGCGCAGGCGGAACCTGGCATGCAGGGATTAACGTCCTATTTAACCACCACATACATCCAAACATCATGAACGATCGGTTGGGCTCCGCGCTGCACATAGCGTGTACAATTCGGCAGCACGAAGTCGTACATGCGGATTTCGACCTCTGGTGCTTCGACTGTGAAAACATCAACCCTTCATCCGGCAAAACAGCGTATCTTCTTGGACAATGTCCTAATATTAATGTAAATGCACAAGGCGGAACATTCGGCACAGCTCTCCAGGCCGCCGCCTATTCGGGACAGACCCTATCAGTAAGGCTACTACTAGACAGAAGAGCCAGACTTAATGTACGTGATGGAAAATACCACAGCGCCTTGAACGGGGCTATTATCAGCGGTCATTGGAATATTGTCAAAATTCTGCTTGCCGCCGGCGCGACACCCGATTGTCACCTGCAAGAGCAACCTAACGAGGATTAGCTTCAGACTGTTTTAGAGGAGGACGGCCGAGGGGCAGTGGAGAGATATAGAATGTTTTGGGAAGTGGAGTTGGAGAAGAAAAGAGGAGGAGAAGGAGCCTCGAACTCATAACGATGTAACGAAGAGTTTTCCTTTCCCTCAATTTGGCTAGCGTTGGAGAAGAACTTCTTATTGAACATGACATGATAAATTCCCCTAAATCCACTATGAACCGAATATTTTTTTTATTTCCAGGTTGTCAAGTAGATCAGAGAAGTCTCCTGGAGAATTCCTTGGCTCCAGATCATCCCAAGCTATGCAACGTATCTCTCTGCGGGCATCGATTTGCCATTGAAATATCATAGAATGTTCCAGTCACAGACACTATTTCTCTCAGCTATTTAAAATTTATACCATTGAGCCAAGTCTTTCGCTGTCTCCTCGACTGGCTCCTTGAAGGTTAATGCGTTATATAAGGTAGGAGGGTGCTTGTTGTGGATTATTGAACCCGTCAAATAGCTAGAGTACAGACAGTAGTTCAGCACAGCCAAAAACTTCTCCATCTGATAGCGGTTGTTAATAAAAGATGGATAGTATATAACACTATTGGCATTTACAGGTCTTAGTCAAGCGCAGGACGACATATACTGTCACGAGCTCTTGGCTGCATTTTAAATAATAGAACACTATCTCAGGAGGTTAATAACATTTTCAAACAAAGACGCCTCTGTAATCGCTTCCAAGGTCAACAACAAAATGAAGTTCGTAAAGTCTGATTGGCTGTGTGGTTGTTAATCTCAGCGTGTAGTGGGAATAGGGCTAGACAAGAGCGAGCACGTGCATATGAACCATGGGAGCGGAACCTTCGGGGTTTTATGTTCAACGTCTTCTATTATTATATCTTGGGTCTCCGTTTTTGGATCCACACGAGATCTCCAATTCGAGTTCGAAGAGAGCTACGTTGACCGCCTATAGGCTGCCAAAGTAGTGTAGGTTACGCATTCTTGTGGTACCTTTGAAAGGTTAAAGAGTTATGTATGTCTGTGCATATGAAACTCTGCAACGAAATATTCATTAAGACATCAGTCAGCCAAGCATTCCAAGGCATCAGCTGTACTTTTGTCAAAATCACTAGACTTGCCATTTGAAAGGGGTCAGCTTATTAGACAGCATCTCCCTTTAAAGACTTGATCGTTTCAAGAATTTTATCCGGGGTATCCCCGTTTATGCAAGTTTGTTGAAGATTCCTCCTTTGGTCGAAGCCCCATCTCACATAGAAGCGCTAGGCCACGACCGGGACTGTCTTCAATGCATAACTTGCTTAGTAGTCGACAAACTAATGTCGCGTCCATCGACATTTACGGCGCAAATCTCGATCCCGCTGCATCGTCAGGACAAAATGCTCCGGGCGTTGACTCGTCACGTGGACACGGCATGCGACGAACAGCAGAACTTCCAAGGCACAGCTTCTTAGGCCTACTCATTAGGACCAAGCATTCATCGTCCACTGGCGATGCTGTGAGGACAGCAAGAAGACCCTTGGCTGGGATCGCGTTTCCACGAACACACCCATGGCGACGGCCTCTGGTAATACTGGGCGGCCGAAGCCGTTCTTCCCAAAAGCAGACGCCGCCATCCTAACATCGAGACATGGACTCCCGCCGGCTCGTCCGCGGACCGTCTGGCCTGTCTTCGATCCGGACAATGTCGACAGGCCTATCGGAGCGTGGACCCCGGAAGTAGGGGAATGCTTCTATCCTCCAAAGGTGGACGAATTTGCGGCATCGTCAATCCCTGACGAGCCCATGTGCATCCCCGACCGATATCTGCGCGCCTTTCTAGCCGAGAATGAGAGATTGAGGTCGTCCATGCTTTGGTACTACACCCGCGATATCCTCAGCGAGACCGAGTTTCTTTCTGGCCTTCAGGAAAAGGCACATTTAGCACAGGAATCCACTGGCTGGGAGTTTGTCGTCATCGGCATTCTCGATGTCAATTACTACATTCGCCTGGCATCTATCGGGCTTCCTTTGGCCATTCTTCCACGCGGAGAGACCTTGTGTGCACACACTGTTACCCAACCTCCCGGCGTATGTGAATGACCATATCCGATATGTCGAGTTTTACTAACCCTTGCTAGAATGTTTTTCTGTTGCCAAATATGATGGAAGACTGGAGATTTAGAAATTCACCTTACGTTGAGTCTGGTGGGCTACGGGCATATGCTGGAGCTCCACTCCGCTTGCAAAGTGAGTCGGGAGACTGCGTTAGCCTTGGATCACTTTGTGTCACTTCAAGAACAAAACAGGAGCCTTTGACCAAGTCTCAACAACAAACACTCGCTCGCTTGGCCGACTGGGTCGTCGCCGATATTGTTCAATGTGCAAGAGCAAGGCGTCAGCGAGACCGGCGCCGAATGTCAGAACTTATCTCATCAGCACAAGCCGAAGCAGAAAAAACATCTTCTGAAGAGCCGATTTTACGGATACTGAGGGCTACGTATCCAGATGCGGCCGTAAATGTACAATCATCCAAGCAGGCCCGTGTCGAAATCGAAGATCATGACCCTATACCCTTGGCCGACTTCGAGGGTGGTTTGTGGGAGGACACAGATTACCTTGACGATTTCATCAATAACTCAAACCAAAAGGCTTTCCCTTCAACCAGGGTAGTACGTGCCATTATTGCACCATGCGACACCCTAGCGGGACCTTCTTCGCTCGTTGTAGCTTCCAAAGACTTTCGACTGGTGTTTGATGATGTTGATTCCTGGTTTGTTTATACTTGTGCAACCATGCTCTCTCAGGTATGGCACAAGCGCCTCCTAACGGAAGTAATGAGAGCAAAAGAAAAGTTTCTTCGCGGAATTTCTCACCAACTTCGAACCCCGATTCATGGCATACTCGGTTCTGTAGACCTGCTGGCCGAAGAGCTTTTGTTGCGAAAACAGCGTGAAAGTAAGGAGGCGACATCATTGCCGGCCATAGATTTGACAGCCAAGCTTTTAGAATCCACCGTCTATCTGGATACCATCAAATCGGCAGGACGAGATCTGATGTCCATAGTCAACAACATGATTACCCTAAACCGGTGGGCCGACATCGCGATGACGAATCGACATTATGCTGAACACACTATTAACGATCTTGAGATGGAGCTGGGAAATGAGCTTCGAAAAACAACTTCAGACGATACTCGTTATAAGGCCTCTGTTTTCTTTCACCATGACCTATTGCTGGATTGCGTCAACTTTCGGACCGACCTCGGCCTCCTTCGTGACAGCTTGGTACCAATCATCATTAATGCCATTCAAAATACTCCAAAGGGCATCATAACGGTAACCACATCGATAGATTCGGATCACCAACAGCTCATCGTTGATGTTGAAGACACTGGCCGTGGTATTCATCCTGACCACCATGAACGCATATTTGAGCCTTATGAAAAGGTTGAAATGCATTCGCTGGGTGCTGGACTCGGCTTGACCATCGCATCCAGGTTGGCAACACTGCTTCACGGGTCTGTTAGTTTGGTGTCGTCAGACGTCAACCGTGGATCACACTTCAAAGCCACATTCCAGGAGATGGAATGTGCCCGCGTACCACTTTTATCACAGCCCCTTGCTCAGAAGTTCAATACTTTACCCTCCAAATTTTACAACATGACGACTGGCTTAGATAACACATTGCTGTTCGACCGCTTGACTCGATTCTTGGCCTTGCACGGCTTTAAATCGTCCGATAGCCTGGATGGCTCCTTTGCCATTTTGGATTTTGTGTCAGACTTGAAGAAGCATCGCTCAAATATGTCCCAGATCCCCTCAGGATACGTTGCCCTCTGCCTGGTGCCGGCTTCGGAAGGGAAATGCTTCCTGGATCAGACATCTAAGAACATAATATATCTCAGCGCACCCTTTTTACCTTCCACGATAAGCTCAGCACTCGAAGAGGCAGACAAATATCTTTCAAATATGAAAATCTCTAATGCATGTACGCCTCGACCTGACGATTCTTCGATCAATCCCTTGGACATACCCACAGATCTGAGCACAGAGAATGAGGATAAGCCCTCAACCTGTCCAAATGAGCAGGTGGCTCAGCCAACCGCAGGTAACCCGGCCCAAACTGGCTTAATAACGCCCCCCGTGGAAATAAATTACGATGCTTCAATCCCCACCGCCCTCACAATCTCCACGCCTACGGCACTACTTGTTGATGACAATGTCATCAATCTCCGCATTTTGCAGATGTACTGCACCAAACGGGGACTCCCATACCACTGCGCGACTGACGGCCTGCAAGCTGTGGAGATATTTTCCCGACAACAGTCCCTGGCCACCGCTGGCAAGGGAGCAGGGATCCACCTAATCTTCATGGATCTTCAAATGCCAGTCTGCGATGGATTCAAAGCCACTCAACAGATACGCCAGCTGGAGAAACAGAACAAGTGGGGGCAAAGTATCATGTTTATTGTGACCGGCCAAGACAGCCCGGCAGACAAATCAACTGCAGAGGACGTTGGTGCCGATGAATACCTGGTGAAACCTGTCGGCATCAAAATTTTGGATCGTAATGTGGCTCGGCATTTTCCCAAATTTAAAGCCGGCTGAGGGACCATATAAATGCAGTACACGAGCACACCAGCATATGCGCGGCCGTCCATCGCCGCCCGCCGTCTTCCATATCTTGTAGTCCGCCAATCCGTTGATAACCCAGTACACCAACGGCTATTCAGTACGACGAAATACGATGAACACTGCCAGACGTAGACATGTCAATGAACCACAGTACGATTATACGAGAACCTTACCTAACATCTGTCAGTACAGTACAGCCTTACGAGGTAGACGAGCGACGTCACAAGATATAGATCATTTTTGAGTGATGATATATTGTTAATAATCCCACCAATAGTAACATTTTGTCTCCGCATTGGTCAGCTTCTGTATGCTAGTGTGTTGTTTAATATATGCAGAGAACATATAAGTGTACTATTTGGTAGCCATGTCTAGAGCACCCCTATCCAATCCGTATACAAATCTTGGTGTGCTTTAAAAATAGTTGCTGCGTATTAATCTAGAGCGTTATTTGACAGCCGACCGCAGCTTCTTTATAACCTCCCGAATGCGGCAACGGTGGTCTTAGTCAATTCAAGCATATAGACCATCTAGGAAGGTCATAATCCATCGACCCGCGTAGAACGTAAGCCTTGTGTTCCTGACTAACTTGCGTTATCAATGGGGTAGTTACATGGTCTAGACGATTTCTGACGTTGAAGACTTGTTCGCTCTGGGTTAATAACTTGGGTAGTTGTTGAGAACAACAGCATGACCAGTTGATGCCGCGGTTTGTACTGCTCCGAAGAGTTGACTATGCACTTCTATACTTTATCCTCTCTTAGTTGTTGACTATTGCACTAAGTATAAAATTAAGCATAGCGAAACCCTTCTATAAGTTAATATACATATAGGCTACATACCTCATACTCGTAAATATCCAATTACAATTGACACTACACCGCACTTGTGCTCCCATACCTGCAGGGACTATAGTGGGCCGTAAGCGCTATCAAAAGGTCAGCTTATGTAGCTGCGAATGTTATAGCTTCATATGGGCTCGGCTATCAAACTGGGTAATTCGAGCGAATCAAGCTGTGAAGTTGGGTATCACAAGCCATAAGGCTGTAAGTTTTTTTCCATCAATGAACCCGTCAACCCATCACAGCGACAATCATTTCTATAAAGAGTCTCAACTTCCTTCCATTTTTGCGACGATCCGAGAACTCTATTCCACAACTCAACCAATCAACTCAGTCTTCCAACACCAAGAGTTCCCCAGTTTGGACAAACAGAGTCACAATGCTTTTCTTCGCGCTTCTCGCACCTCTTCTCGGGCTCGCAGCTGCCGCTCCTGTCGCAGATGCTGCAGAGGGAAGCATCAATGAGCTCCTTAAGCGTGGTGATGGCTCAGGTGTCCACCTTGTGAACTGCGATGGCTTTGGAGGCGAGGGTACCATTGTGCCCCCCAGTTCCCACGTTGTGGTAGGTTTACAACTATGATCACCTAACTCTGGTCGAGAGTTTCCAAATAACCATATTGTGGTGTTAGTTCTGCGAGAATGACAGCAACTGCAACTTCTCGCCCTCCGGTGACAACATCTGCACGATGGGAGTGAACTTCTGGTTCACATGGGAGGGACAAGCTCAGGCCTGCACATTCTCTTCTGGTGCTCGATTTTCTTGGTTTGTCAACAGCGACGCGCAGTCGCAGCCAAACTTTGTGCACGTTGGGTAAGTCTTGCAAAACTCTTCAGCGCGACCAAACCCTGAGACTAATGTGATGTGATGTAGCGATGGTGGCAACCAGTTCCGTGCCTACGCTGGTTTCAAGGACGACAAGCACACGATGTTCTTCCGTGGAAGTGGCCAGTGCCATTCTATCTACTACTTTGTTTAATGGCTAGTGGAATGGCTTTGACGGATAAGCATGGGTTCTTAACCTTGGGTTACCATCTCACAACTGCCAACAGTCAGCACTTTGGACGAGTGTTGGTATACTTGATTATGACTCATTTTGTTTCATAACCTTTTACTTGATAAGGTTTCCCTCAGCCCTACTGAATTGGGTACTCAGGTAGCATTGGGTAACCCACTCTGTTACGGAGTATTCGTGCAAGGGTTACCCGTCAGCCCTACTAAATTAGGTACATATGTAGCATTGTATATAAATTATAAAAGTAATTGGATGAAGACTACATTTTTTCAAGCGTATGTGACAATTGTGCCCCTTGTAGTATCTTCTAGAATATATCTGTGGTTGTCTGATCTCCTATATCCCTATGAGATGGTTGATTCTATTTATATGTACAATATACGGAGTAGGCTGAATCATAAATACGTAGACTTTGATAGCTACTGTGCTGGTTCATTGGCTTATCTCAATACAAGACAGCGAGTGGGTTGAGACACAGGCATACCCTATTCTCAATCAGCTTCTTGGCGCATCATTCAACGGCCAGCCTTATATCTGCGTACCTATGCGAAAAGCGGTATAGGAACAGGTCATAAAAATGCAATTTAATTAAGAAAGAAAATAGCTGAACGTGAGATGATGCGCTTTAACATAAATACAGAAAATCGCCCCACCCGAAATCTCAATTATTACGGCTCTCCTTGAAAAAGTAAATAACGGAATGAGAATAGTTTATAAACCCAAGAACATAACACTTTAGTCAAGCCATTCAGAACTAAGTATGAGCGAAATGATGTGAAGAAAATTATTTTCATAAGCGTCAGAAGCCCAGGTGAAGCTTCAAATTGCGCCTCTCGTTAATAAAGAGAGGAGCATCATTTTTAATGCACTTCGAGAGTCCACAGACACATCTTCTAGTGAAACTCCGCAAGCTTCCCTCCTACATCTACAGGTACCCCACCTTTTGGGTGCCTAACCACCAAAAACCCTCACTCTGTTTGACTAGCTATCAGACAAAACGACCTCGTTTTTTACTTTCACGGTCCCATCTGGGGACTCTGGAGAGATGGCAACATCTACAAACCCTCCGGATAACCAGAACAGAACGAACCCCGTCGCCCCCGGACCCGCGACAGTCTTTCAATTTCAGAAGGAGACGACCCCCTCAGGCCCAAGCACGGGAGAGGTCATGGTCCTCCCCTTCACCCCCAAGAAGAAAAGGCGCTTCGGAGAAGCCCTCGGTATGGACAAAATGCCCACACCCAGCTTCAACAGAGCAAAACCAAGCACAGCGGCGACATCGACCGCAGCGCAGACAGCCTCGAGAGGCCTCATCGCCTCCATTTTCAGCGGTGCAAAGGAAGCCACCGACCCAAGCAAAGAGGGGAAATCACTCACCAAAAACAAAATCATGAGCCAAATCAACGAGATCAACGCCCAACAACGGGCCAGACAAGACGTGGTATTGAATATAGCTATGGCTATCGACTCCTGCCTGGCGCAATACACATCCCAACTCTCCTCAGCGGTGGCAGAACAGGTCCGAACATGCCTGAACACCGCACTCGAAAACTTCGTCACCTCCCACATCAACCCAGAGGGGAGGCCCAAAAACCCTGAAAAAATGGGCAGCAAGGAAAGAGCTGCCCAACCATCTGAGACAGCGTCAGCCAACTCATCTCGCAGCGAGGAAGGCAAATCAAACGGCCCCAAGAACCCCACCACAACGGGACCTCCCGCAGCCACTGGAAAAGTGGGCCAGAAGGCCCCCAAGGTCACGTGGGCACAGGTCGCGTCGCGGAACACCACTCACAACAAAAAGCCGCAAAATGACAGCAACACCCAGAAGAATCCTGCTCCCAGCAGCGAGGGGCCGGCCCCCGCTGACAGAAAACAGAACAAAGACAAAATCACATCGGGCAACCAAAAGCCCGATGACCGCATCTTCATCCGGGTCCCGCCAGACCATGTCTGGAGGAAGATGACGGCCATCGGGGCTAAACAGGAACTGATCAGCCTCATGAAACTCAACGTCGAAGACATTACCTACTTCCAGGAGGTCCGATCGGGTTTCGCCCTCCGGGCAAAGGATCAAAACACCAAGAACAAAATCATCGCTCTCAAGCCAGCCGCAGAGAGCAACGACCTAAAAATCGAAGAAGCATGCACATGGAAGATCTTCCTCGTGCGTGGCGTGCCGAAAACTTATACTGACATGAGCGGGACCCACCCCACGGACGCGCTAATCCCCGAGGAGGCGCGCGCCAGGGCTGGGGCCAAGAACCCACCAGTGGCCTGCCGCAAGGCCCCCTTCGGGGAATCTCTTGACACCTGCGGCTACTTCATCTCGTTCAAGGAGAACGTCAAACCCGGCTTCAGACTATTCAATATCTCCCACCCGGCGGAAGTCCGGGTGCAGCAGCCCCGGGTCACTCAGTGCCAACGGTGCCTCGGTTTCCACAATCCCCGGAACTGCACCAGAACAGAAAGGTGCCTTAAATGCGGCAGGCCGTCATACAGGCACACCGACAACATGGCAGACTGCCCGTCCCCCCCGCAGTGCGCCAACTGCAATGGCCCTCACACGGCAGACTCCCTAAAATGCCCTGCTAGACCGGCGGTCAGGAACGGGGAAAAAGTGCACACAACCCGGGCCCAACTCCAGGCAATCCGGGAATTGGGCCAGCAGGAATACAACAAAGCCAACCCACCCAAACCCAAGCCTGCCCCCGCCCCGGCCCCCAATGCCGAGAAAACGTCTAACCCGGAAACCCGAACGGGCCCCCGCATACGGCTGCCAATATCCAGCTCGGCGCCACCCTTCCCCCCTCAGGCCCCGGCCAAGAAGGTCATAGTCGAAGTCGACCCGGACGAGGAGGACCCCCACGAGGGAGCCTCCCCCGCCAGGTCGGCAGTCCACGTGGCCGGCCCGGACAGCGAGGAGGAGGACGTAGAGACAGAAGGGGACGAAAACATGCTTGACGCTCCCCCCGGAACTGACGGACCCCTCGATGCGAGCCTATGAACGATAGGCCCCGTCGCAGCCGCCGAAGAAACACTGGCCTCAAAATCTTCCAAGCCAACGTCGGGAGGAGCGGTCCATACCAGGACATCGCCCTATCGCTGGCATGGGAAGGTGGCTACGACATTGTGCTGATCCAGGAACCCTACGCCCAATGGGACAGGGTGTCGAACAGAAGGCAAACCAAGAATCATCCTGGATATCAAGCATACAACCCCCTGAACAGCTGGAGGGACGCCAGACCCTCAGTTCTCACATTCGTTAGAATCTCTCCGAACCTCCCCAGCAAACAACTCTCTCCCCCAGGCCTGGAGGACGGATGC